CATTGCAAGTCCTCGTTCGTTTTAATTAATCTGGTCTCGTTTTCCAAGCTCTTTAAACGGCGCTTTCTCAGATCTTCAGTAGCGTTGTTTAAACTGTTGGCTAACGTCTTACATTGTTCAACACTGTATGCGAGCTTTGACTCTAGATTTTCTCTCTGTATTCGCCATTCCTCGCTCAGCATGTTCAAATATCGTTCTTCCTTTCTTTTGAGCTATAATTCATATCCCATGTAAATAATATTTCAGCAAATAGAAATTCTAATCGTTGCTGTTATCGTTTTACCTCTGCTTTAAACATTTCTTTTTGGCGGTCCTTCCATGTTTCGAGCTCGTCCACTATTTTATATGCCAAGCTATCGTCCAATATTGGTGGGCCTAGATTTTTATCTTAAATAAACCATTTCAATAAATAGAGGACCAAAGTCTATCGAAGCAATAGGAAACAAGAGAGAGAAAATTATAACGAAAAATTTTAATGAATGTATTACCTACCGATAGTTTCTTTCTTTAATATACAATGTAGTCCACGATCCTCTAATTTGAGTATAATGTCCATATCAGCAATTTTATTTCGGTCTCTATCGAACAGAAATAATTTATACTGACATTCGGACTGAAAAAAGAAGTTCTTGTTTTAATTTCTGTTATTCTGCAAAAGATCATCACTATAAATATAACATTAATATTACCTTTTCTTGGTGAAATAACGGTTTTACATCAAGTACTAACAATGATAATTCATCACCTTCGTTAGTGTCGTATATACTAATTTTCGGTGGAAAAGATTGTAGTAATTGTTTTATTTCGTCTGGCGCGGATATAAAGTGAAATTGACATACAATATCTTGCAATTTAACTTTCTTGTCGGATAAGTCTGGCATTTTCGCGTATGCTGTTGACATGATTTCAGTTTTTGGATGATGAAATCTATGTAGAGATTATATTGCATTAAAAAAAAAAATGGACATATACCTTATTATATTCCTTTAATTGGAAAAAAAAACATTAAAATCAAACAAACCAAAATTCAATTTCTCGTCCAGATAATGTTTCAGAGGCCAGTGTTATTGCCACAAGTGAGATGCGTAGACAATAGCAGTGATAAGATCCTACGCCTTTGATATGATTCTTATTACTGCAGAGGATTTCATCGCACGAGCGCGAATACGTAACTTTATCCGTCTGATGTTTGCAGCATTGGCAATCAACGGGCTGTTTATTTATATTTTTACATTCTGTTGTGCATTTTACTTCGCCAGGAAGATTTTTGACACTGAACTTTCCAAAATTGCCACTAGGATTTCTGTGAGACTCCATCTCTGGACACCTCTAAAATTGGGCATTATTTTAAATTACAAGTCATCTTTGTTATCAATTTTGCTATGATATAATCATTGGGATGGGAGATTGATAAAACAAAGTTCCTATTCTACCTGGTCAACATTATTTATGCTTTCTTCGTTATAATTTATTCGAGTGCTAGATACGCAATTGTTGGAGTTTATTGCCGTGTCAGAGTTGACCAAGATATTTGTTCTACTTCCAATATATTGCAATTTAAGTTGTAAATCGAGATAAGATTTCTGATGTTGGTTTTCAATAGGTTTTTCCGTTGAACCTTGTTTAATTAGAAAACATTGTTCGTGTAAAGTAGTATTTGCATTTGCAGTACATTTGAGAAATTCTTGCAGACTGTCTGCAGGTACTAAGGATTGCAGATTAACTGATGATTCGGCTATTACATTACTTTCATGTTTCAAATATATTAACAGATATGGCTTCAATTGGAGATATTGCTTTAAGACGCTCAAAGAGCTTCGTATTCTCACTACTACTTTCTCAGAGACAAAATGGGATTTTCCGGACTCTGTTTTGAGTGGTTCAAGTTCCACATCGAGTTTTCCAAAACTCGATATAAGAAACGCACAGTGCTACGTTTGTTTAGACATTCAGGTAATAATAGATGCAAATTTTCTATACACATGGTTGTGATACTTAATATAAATAATTCGCAACAGGTGTTTAGAGGCCCCAATTGAATCAATTGCTCATCAGGATGTAAGTAAGGGATTATTTCGTCACTTTCCAAGATAACATCTTTGTCTATCATTAAATTTCTTAGCTACGAAATAACATGAGATACGATAGCGATATTTATATGTATATGTGCTTTATAAAATGTAATTATAATTACAGTTTACTAAATAATGGTTTTTTATATTATTCTATTATTTTATTATCATCATTTGTTACTCAGTCATTAGGAAAGTATTAGATGTACTAATTATTATTAAACTACTCATACGTATACTACTCATACAAGATAAAAGTATATTTCACCTCTACTGTTGGATTTAGATTTATGTCCTTTCGATCCTCGACTCTTAACGCAAGAAGTAACTCAGGCTTTTGTGCTTTAAGATCGCTTCTTAATCCCAGCAACTTGTGCCAAGCTGCTTTCGGATTCAGATCTCCACATTTTGACAATACTAGCGCAGAACGTACGTTTAGCAGAACATATCCAATTCTCTCTCTACCGTCGTTCTCTTTAAAAGCAAAGCATTCTAATTTTAATGAGGCTTGCTCTGATCGCATTCTATAAATTGAATACAAGATGAAATATCTGTATTATATCCACAACTAATAGCAATTTGAATAAAGAGGAAGAAATACTATTCTTACCTTCTCAACACCATTTTATTAGTTTCCCAAACCAAATCAGTAGCATATTGTGGAGTTGGACAAGGCTCGATTCTGTCAGTCTCTAAGGAATGTCCATTTAAAGTCCCAATCAATAACGTTGGTTGTAAAACTTGCTCAAAACCCTTCCCTACATCATAAACGTATGTCAACATAAACATAACGTAATTTATAGGATGTACAAATCAATGATAACGTTTTCTTCTTTCTATTATATTTATTATTGTAATTGTAATGCAGTTATAAAGAAGAAGTAAGGAACATTTCGTTAGAAAATAATTTTCAAGAAAGACAGAGAAAACAGACCTCGCAATGTTGGAGAAATAAGAACACGGTATCTTACCCTCTTTTATGCTCAAAATAATCTGCACGTCAGATTTAGTCGCCTCAGTCATCTCGTTCGGTCCTCGTACAGACGTAAAATATTCTATACAAAATAACAAATTCGACAAATATATCTACCAGTGTCCAACACGCGTGTATTTACACGCTCCTCGTGATTTAAATCCGCTGTCATGGTAACTGTAGCGGTCAGCCATCCGCCACAAGCGCGCGTCACAAGTGACACGGACTATGGAAGGCGCGCGGCGCGTGCCGCGGGCGGCAGCATGGACTCGCGCGGCGAGAGAGTTCGGCGCGCGCCCGCTACGCGGCGCATCGCCGGTTCCTTTGCTCGTAAGAAAGATTCGACATCGACTGCTATATAAAGGTATATGTGTCCCGAAGAAAACAGATAGCAAAAAAATTACATTAAATTTTATTATATAAATTATAATTTATGTACATAAATTATAATTATATAATTTATATAAGAAAATTTAATGTAATCTTGATATCTGTTTCAACGACCGACATCGTGAAACTCGACAAACCTA